CTTTAAACTAATAATAAAACGAATTAGCGAGAGCGATAACGGTTTGAATTATTTCCATTGTTTGAAAGACAAATATTTTTAGTGTAACATTTTTCTTCAGTTTATTTCTCCAATTAAAATTTTATTTTCAGGTATGGTGCAAACAAATTTCATTACTTCATCATGAAAACAATTAAAAATGAAAACTTTGTTATATACTGCGTTTTATGCACTAATTTTGTTCTTTTGTTCTTGGTTCGGGGCTGTCATAAATGTATTATGTATCTGCTCATAATCGTTAATAAAACATATACTTATGATTTTATGACCTAATAAGTATCAAGTTTTATGTTAACATTCGGTTGACTTAAATGCCTTTTCCTTGGGACGTAATTTGAATTTCTTAAAAATTAAGAAACGAAATTTATTGTTGTGGTTTCAGCCCATACAGATACGCGCCTCAAAAAATATTTACCCTCAGTTCGCAACAGAAACAACAGAAAAGTGAAAACTGTCAATTTTGTTAGCAAACTACAGCTAAGCTTTTCGTACTAGTATCTACTAAATTCACTGACCAAACTATGAACAAAAGGGATAACAAATTATATTTTAACGATATAGAAACTAGAGACTGAATCTATTATGGAAAAATTATATCCGAGAATGAAAAAAATGTCTGTTGCGTATAAAAAAATATAAAATTTTCTATTAAAAAAAACAAACCTTTTTTTCAATAAGAAACCATATTACCAAAAGCGTTCCAATTGTTTGAAATGTATGTACCTGATGTCGAAAAGCGATCAGAAATTCAGAAATTACTTACTTATACTTAATATGCTATTACGAAACAAAATTTAGTGTGATTATAACAAAAACGTTGAAATTGTGTAGCAAATCCAACTTTGAAGAGTTCAATTGTTCCTGTGAATCATCTTATATCAATACAATTTGAAAATGTGAATTCCCGAGAAAAAAAAGTACCAGTCTGTGTTGCGCTCTTATCGATAATGACCTCGTTTGAACAAGTATTAAACTTAATTAAGATCCTAATATTTACCCAAGATTTTTCATATCCAGGAAACTGTAGGATTTTGTCATTAAAAAAAAAATACAACGGAAATGACGGGAATTTCCCCGAAAAAAAAAACAAAAGGAGCCTTCAGTAGACACTTTCAGTGTACACTCCTTGACCCAATTGCCCGTTTCTCGAACTCGACTTAAAAACCTGTAGAGACCAAAGGTTATAGTTTCCAATGCGAGAGTAATTCGCTTTCCGTCTTTCGGATTTACGCAAGCCAAGCTCCGAAAGCTCATGTTTCTGTAAGAATCTGGAGCTCGTTCTCACGCACTTTTTAAGGTTTCGTTCTGCTCTCGATTTCACGCCGAAACTCTCCGGTCAAGAAAAATTTAATTAGTGTGGCCGGTGAGCAAACAAAGAGTCCTAACAAGGTGCGGTTCACAATTTTATTATACGTATTTAACGTGCAATAAAATTAATTAGACAAACAACTGTTTATAGCATCCCAAGAAAAGCAGGCCGTCATTAAAAAAAAAAAAAAACTCGGCTCAGAATAATACACTCGGCTCGGACGTACCTAAGTCACGTTTTCTGATAAGCCGCCTTATCGGTTATTTTGGCTGGAGTGGTGCTGACTCGCAAAAATGCGAAATTAGGTATGCCGGATTTCGGTGAAATGTGTCATTTCAATTAAGCTCGAGTCACTTCTGAGCTTTCAGACGAGTGTTTACCGTATTAACTGCTGTAATTCATAAACCTTGGTTCTTTCATCTCGATATATCGAAGTGTAAATACCATTATCTTTTGTCTGGAGACAGAGACAGGTTTACACTGTTCTTCAAACAAACAGTTTAATGTTTATATGAATATTTCTCACGCTGTACAAATACGTAACACATGCTGGACTTTACGGATCTTTTTACTGAAGCTGCGGTTTGGGAAAACTGTTGGAAAATTTCTGACCATTTTCTCTGAAGACAGAAAACATAACGATAAGTACTAACGCAATTAGGAAATTAACATGTCGGGTTACTTGCCCACAGAACCCACGCTTGTTATTATTGAGGCAGATTTGGTCTGGAAAAGACCAATGAGTAAGAAAATTAGCGAACTGCGAGACGAGATACACAATATTCTTCTCACTTTTCTCATTAGCATTATCTATGAATGAAAGCGTGATTCGGTTACCTCTATAAGTAAAGTGCTGAATTCGACACCGAGGATGTTATCTATATCTATAAATCCAGACGTATACATGAAAATGATATCGTTCTGAAAAAGCAATAACATGTTTTAATATGTGTGTCATTAACCGGACACATCGTTGTTTGTGTTATGGAAACTGTATAATTTTCCACACGAAAAAGGCTACACTCAAAACCACATTAACACACTCTTTCTAAAATAGCTTCAGTACACAAGTTTTTAATCATCAATGGCAACTCAAAAAACGATTTGTAGGTTATCGTACTGATCGGTTTTTCGTGACACTTGTTTCACAAAAAATCTTGACAATACCTAGATCTATGTACTTCTTCTGAAACGATCTTCGTATCTTTGCTTTCTAATTTTTAAAATGATATCTTTGTAAAGAAATATAATCATACTACAATACTTCGTACTTTTGTGTTTCCACCATTTTTCCATCCATTGCTACACTTTTACACAAACTTAGTCGGACATTGAATTAATGCTAGCACAAGAACATTTTTTTAATTCTAAAAGAAGTTGAATCCGATTAAGTGCCAAAATATTTCACCAGGTAAAAGTAACAATAATTGATTACAATGCTTCAGTCCAAATTTATTACAGATAAAAGTGTTATTTGATCACTCGGTGTACAAACGCGAACACAAATGCCGCGGGCGTTAACGTGTTACGATTAAATTTATTCTTGTGGTAATTATTGTTGCTTGCTACTAACATTAACATTTACAGTTACTACATTAAAAAAAGTCAACCGACGAAAACATTTTCGCACACATACCCGTTTGCGCATAGTTCCTCTGATGATGATGCTGTAATGGTCATTAAAAAAAAAACACATTTTTTGAAATACGCAAGCTTATAAAATTTCTGTTTCAAATCCAGTGATTATCGATTGAATATACTTTCTTTTTTTTAGTTTCAGTCCACAACAATAATCCAGTTATTTTCGCTTACGAGTACATACTTAGGTACGTAGGTTTAACTAATGTTTACTGTTTCAATAAAGGTGATAATTTAATTTCCAAGTTTAATTCAATTGTTTTACTTTCGTCAGTTATCGCATTTATGCATAAACTTGCACTGAAGTGATTATTTTAAACTAGATAAACGTCTCAGTCAATATTTAAGATGCAGATAAGTGGTAAAACGATGTTTATTAATTTATTATGCGACTGTCATGTTAAAAAACGACGATTTAAATCTAACTATACCTGGAGAACGTTGTTATGAAAATAATTTTATGAAATTCACAGGGGTTCGGTAAAATTTTGGGTCAAAATTTCATAAATTCATAAACAATATAAACACTGTCGACGCTATTATGGCATCTTTAGATGCCGTTGATGGCAACCCTCTTTGGCACGTGAAAAAAAAAATTGAAACTTCACTTAAGAAAATACTTGCAAACTTTGCTTTACACAAGTAAAAGTTTCAAAAATATGGTATTCCATTCTTATCATTCGAAGTGTGGAGATGCATCCAAAGTCTAAAATTATGAATTAATTCTGAATACCCCGTTCGAACATTTTCTTAAAAACTGTGTACTTTCAGAAATTGTATCAAATGGAAATACAAATTGAAATTTTTTTATCATTATATGTAATAATAGGTAATAAATTTTTGGAGGACGACGGCAAAGTAACAAACGTAGGGTCAGTTTGAATTCTATCTGCAAAAAATAAATCGCATTCAAAATTTTCTTAAAAACTGAAAATAAATCTCAAATTAACACTTATATATTTGAAGATCATTAGACATAACAATTCCACCACGTTGCTGTCTTGTCCTTACTTAACTGAAAATTTTACTAAAAAAGACGATCAACCGAATCACTTAAGAAAATTTAGTAGATATTAGAACGTAAATATTTCAGCACAACGATTAAATTTATTAATGTCTCCTTTTAAGAGAATGGGATCTATTTTTTCGATATAAGTTTTACGTTTTTACTATAAATCAATTTAGAAAAAAAAATAGTTTCCAGAATTTTCCTTATCTTACATATACAAAAACAATTTTTTGTGGCTTGACCTAAGAAACTTTTAGTTCTATAGGTACAGACATGACTAAACTTACAAGCCAGGATCTATAAAAAGAAAAAAACAACAGTACCTAGAGTTCAGAAAATGTTATAAACCCATGACTGCTTATTTTATGGTCACCTTTAAAACGATTTTTTTTCCAAAACCGATTCTTTGAATCACTTAAAAATGTGCGTTTAAATCAAATTTTACCCACCCTTTATGTAATTCTAGTTGTAGAATAAAACTGCGTTGTAGGTAATGATTTTCAAAAAATGTATGTACGAGAAAAAACTGTTTTCTGAAGACAAGCTTGTATTTCTTACAGTTTTATGCAAAATTAGTAACCAAAATTTCTTCAGAACAGTTAAAAATAGCATTGCTCCAAACAGTCTTCAATTGTTGAAACGAAATCGAGGAAAAAAAATGAGTGCCTAACAATTACTTGTGAAATAAACGTACGAAAAGGTAAAAATTTCACAAAATTATTCTGGCCTGAAAATTCTAAACTCTTTGGAATTTGAATTTTCAAAAGTCAAAATTTTGAAATTTTAAAATTCTTATGGTACCACTTTGTAAAGTCTGCCCAAGATTACATCTGATACATATCCACGAAGATCTTGGAGTAGCGAATGTTCGCCTTTTTTTGCTACAAATACAAACATTTTGAACCCATCAACTTGACGGTACCATCTAATAATTGTACCTTGTCTCAAAATATTAATCCTTCAAGTATCACAAGTACCCACAAAGTCCCCAAGCCTCTCAATTACCTGCGTCATCAGCCTGTCTGCCCCCGTGCCTTCCTCATCCTTGAAGATGATCTCCTTGTTGTAGTTGGGCACCAGGTCTTTGAACCTCGAGTCGTTCCTGCCAATCCTCCCTTCCGTGAGTCCGCTCGCTGTCAGCTGGTTCTCCGGGACATTGGGCACGTGCTGCTTGAACACCAAGGGGGTGAGCTTCCTCGGGCCCCTCCGTCGGCCCACGCCCCTGCCCGGCCCGCAGCCGTACGCCACCTGCCCCAGCACCAGGCCCAGCAACAGCGCCGCCGTGGCGGACCTCATCTCCGGCGTCCGCAGCGCGCACCATCAGCACTCATCCTCATCTTGCACTTGTCATGGGTGAAACACCGACTGCGGTTCCCACTCGGTGACCACCTGGCCATCTTCGCGCCGACTGGAAAGCTATTGGCCGGCGGGCGGAGCCCCGGCAACGTCGCGAATCGAAGAATGCGCTGACGTCACGGACGACGCACGCCACTGGACGGACGCGAGCTCGGGACGCTCATGGTGCTGTGGGACGCCCGGCGCGAGCGAAGGGCCGGACACGGGACGATCGGGACGAGGGATGCGGATGATGAGTCTTACGAACGGTTGCTTCGAGGAACTGCTGGAATTCGGTTATTGTTGTGTGCGACGAAGGTTGCGTTTCGTATCGACATGTGTGTTTGATTTTCTCAATTGTTATCTTGCCAGGAGATAAAAAGAGGCTCGAATTTGTGAATTTTACAGGTTTATGAGTGTTGGGAAATAATACCGCAAGCGGAAAAACATATTTTTTTACCGGTTTATTCCGATTAGGTTTCGATGTCCACGTGCTGAGTAGGTACTCTCATACCTATTCGCATCCTATAAATGCGAGTATGTAGCTTCGGATGTTCAGCTTGTTATAAATGGTTTAAATAAGCTTACAAACGAATATTCAGTGATACCTGGAAGTTTCTCCTCAGTTTGAAGTCTTGTAGCAACTTTTTGCAGAACCATTGTACAGACCATTTTTGTTGTCGTTAATAGCTGATGTTTTTCCAGAAAAGAAAGGAACTGCACCTCTTACACCAATCTTTCAATTTGGTGCTAGATACCAGAGAAAAAAGTGTCGGCCCCTTTGGCCCACCTGCACTTTTTCCCAGGCAACAGCCAAGAGATAATTGTAACATAATTATTTTATCGAATAATAAAAAAACTATATAATTGGTCTATTCATGACCTTCAAAAAGTCGATTACTCATTTTTTAAGTATAAATCTCGCTTCAAGGATTGCCCTTAGAAAATAAAATTTCAGCAAACTTTACTTGTTAGTTATGACTCGAAATTTTATTAAAAAAAAAAATAATAACACCGTTTTAAGGAACACAGCATTAACTGAATTTTTGTATGTATCTTCCAGGGATAGTTGGTTGACGTCATCTTAAAAAATTACGCTCAAATTGTGCTTTACTAGTAGTTTTTTTATACTTGCCGATTACTAGATAAGACATTGTATTGGGCTCACGATTTTCCTATCACACTTAATAGATAAAATTTTACATCCATAGGACTTTTATGTGTAATTTGTAGTTAATTTATATAAATATTTACATTTAAACAAATATTTATATTATTATAATAAGCAAAATATCGAAATATAATAATTTCATCTTAAAAATACAAGATATAACATTAGATCCATAAAAATAGCCGACGGAAATGTAAATATTGAAATGATACGTAAATATTTTTATGACATTGACAGAAGTAAAACTTATCTTTTTATTTATCACCTTTACGTTCTTACTTTAAATAAATACAAATTAACAAAATCAAACTGCAAATTTCAAACATCGAAAAATTAGTTGACGTAACAAGGAGTGATATTTTTAACGCAATACCAGTTCTTTTATTATTACTTTATTCATGCAAATGAAAAATAAACATGCATGTAAGTTGGAACCAATTGACGTAGCTACAAACCACAGATTCATGATTTTCCTAATACAATATACAAGCAGATGTAACATTTTTCCAACCACACAAAAAGTTAACAATATTTTCGAAAATTATTTCAAACCTTTCTGGACGTGTTTTATACGCTGAAGATAATAATAGGTTTATGAGATTCCTATCCACCTTCGTAAGCCCCATTCATAAATCGATCTACCTCCAACATCAAAAGGCAAAATGCGGTGTTATTTTAATGGAGGGTGGCTTTTCAGTGTCACCCTTAATAGCATCAGGTGGGTTGGCGTGGGAATTTTGGCGCCTACCCTTTGTGATTTACAACTTTTTGTTTTGTCCTGTGCGTGAAATCGTTCACTAAAATAAACTGTTTATTTCGTTGTCGTCAAGAATTATGTAAGAATCCATAGTAAAAAATCGTTAAAAAGAATTTTAAATATTTATCGCGGTTTTTCTGCAGATTCATCTTTATTATGAAGTGATAAAACCAAACATTAAATAAAAAAATTCATAGAACTGACGACATTTGAAGGTAGGTATTTACGCGGTTTTTTAATCAATCGTATTTATTATTTTATTGTCGGTAACGACCATATTTTTTATCTACGAATGCAATTGTTAGTAATAATGCTATTAATAAATCGTAAATATTGAATTACGTGTGGGGCTAATGTAAATGTCAGATATATCCACCGATTAATTGTTTATTATATGCATTACTTTACAAGCGGCGTAAAATTTTATTGTCGTCGCGAGTAATAAAAACAAACGTGTCAATTAAACGGAAAAAGTAAGTTGACCGATAAAGAAAATAATACTGAAGGGAGCTTTTAGGACAAGAACGCTACCAAAAGTGCAAATGAAAAAACTTTTGAATAGGTAATGAAGAAGGTAAACAGAAAGTTTCAAGCTCGCTTGTTTGGTGAATTACTTACCGCTTCCGTAAAAAGTACGTTTTTATCGTTTCGTGGAATGAAATGGAACGTTTTCAAGAACAATGTAAGAAAAATCGAACAACAAAACATAGATAAGAAGCGTTTCTCACAATATTTGACCTACCCTACGAGACCATACAAAGTCCGTTGTTTTCGGAAAAACTCTTTCATTGTTCGGTGCCTTAACATCTACGAAGTGTTAATGAAGCGCAGCTACCCAGAAAGAAATGTGTTGTTACTAAAAGTTAGCGTCTCACTGAAAGCATCCAGTTGAAAAACAACATATACGATATTTACAGGACGTATTAACCGAACAATGCGATTGTGTTACATAACATTTTTCTGTGTTTGTGGTTGCTTTATTAATATTAATTATTTTGTAATGGGACAGTAATTGTATTAGAGGTGATGCATTTGCATAAGCGGTGCCACCGGTGAATTATTACTCGTTAGTTATGTAACACTCTTCTTGAAATCAAATTAAATTAATGGTCGCTCATTCAAAGGTACTATTTATAGTAATCTCCTCTGATCACTCCGATAACATACTTTTCATATTGACAAACATTATTGCATTAAGATAAACGATATATATCTACTGTTTTTGCGGAATTATTTTGTTTTGCTGTTTGCGGAATTATTTTGTTACAGTTACATTTTAAAAGATATTGCAACAGTCATAAATGCGTAGTATGCCTGAGTAGGATCGTAATTGTTTTTTGTAACAATTTTAGAGATAATATAAAAGCGGATAATGTGGATTTTGCGATTTCTCCAGTAAACTACTAACATCGTAAAACATGGTTCTTGAAGTTATTTACACATAGAGCTTCCTTTTTTTTATTTAATTTTTTTCGGACATGGTTATTTGGACAACATGAACATCAAAATGTTAATTCACAACTAACATAAGTGACATTGAAAAATAAGCATTTGCATACAGTCACTACTCGTCTGGTACTTTTAAAGAATCCACCTTAGGTCCGTTGCTTTTTGTCGTGCTCATTTGTGACCTTACAACTGGTTTGGTGGTTAATAAATATGTATTGTTCGTCCATGACATCTAAAATTATAGCGTAATAGATGATTACAATTTTGCAAAATAAGTATTGAACTTATCTAGATGTTTGCACTGAGAAAAATTATTTACAGTATTTATTTTAACATTCGATGTAATATTGGCATAAAAGTTAAACTATAAAAATTAAAAATATATAGTTTCCGAAGAAGAAAAAAACTGAGAACAAAATGCACGAAACAAAAACTGGAACAAAAAACGATTAAAGTGAATTTAGCGCAATATTACGAACTAGCAGGTTAAAGAAAGAAAAAAATTAAATGAGAACAAATTAAAGCTTAAAATACCCGAAACAACAAACCCCGCGAGAGGAAACGAGATAAACGCAGTTCCCATTTGTTAAGGTATTACAAGCAAGGTTCATTGCTATCCACCGGATTAGTAACCTACCTTGGATGCATCAATAAACCTCGATTTTGAAGAAATATTTCCGTCCAGACGTCATACTCGAATCGCGCCCAACCCGCCATCATTAGCTATTCATGTATACAGCAAAACAGCACCCAACAACATTTCGGAATCTGTCGTTTGATACAGTGCTAAATTGTCCAAGTCGTGTTAAATTAGCGCCAATTGTAATCGTTTATTTATCGTCACTTTCTCCGAACCTCTTTGAATAGTCGTTCTGCTTGTGTTATTCTTGTATGATTACAAAAGTTTAGGTGAAGGCCTGTTGAGGTAGGTAGTGTCGCCGGTAGTCGTAAATATTGTCACGCTAAATATAATTTCGTATAGGGATATTGTCACAACGAGAATTTCACGAGTGGAATTTGCCACCGTCTATTAACTATTCAAAGCGGCTCAGATCCCGGTGTAAAGTTTTTAATGTTTCGCAAACAGGAGAGTCGTAAATTATGTCATATTATGAAGTATTATTGACAGAATCGTGAAAAATGAGCTGTTTTATTAGACGGATTTGTTGATTCTGATAAGATTTATCTGTTATTTACCTCCGGTTCGAGAAAGGGGATTTTTATACTTTGGGAGAAACACGAATTGTTTAATTTCGATACAAGCGATCTTGCTAGTTTAACGTGACACATTTTTGGACGGATGTTGAATGTTTAAACTGACTCACTATTATTAGGTACTGCTGGAAAAATCTACGTTTCATATTTGCAATAAATATTATGGTGATAAATATTTGGCCGTCCACTACTGCAGGACAATCTTGACACAGCTTTTAATTTGTTTTTAGAACTACTGCAATATTGCTAAAATAATTTCTCAGTGGAAAGCCTAAGGAATCAAAAGTTCGGCACATGAACATGTAGCAGGTGTAATCCAGCGTCCGGCGGGGAAAATGATAGATTATTTATTATGCCTAGAAATATGATTATAGTGACATCCGTAATTCGTTCCTGCCAACATCCTTCAAGAAAATCAGTTATCAGTGCAGAGACAATTTCAAAACACACCAAATGGATATATTCAGTGCACACAGATTACGTTTTTTTAGCTCATAAAATACAAAAATGCAGGGTTTCCTGTTTTGTTTAGCTTTGTATTGCCTGCCTGACGATTTTATTAAACGTTGATAACTTTGAAACCATAAAACACCACTCAAAAATTCATCTCAAGTGTACAGCCTGATATAGCGTGCACAAAATTTCCCAACTTTTCGCAAAGCGTCAGGTTGTTTAAACTTCGTTAGTCCCGTGAAAGTGCATTTCCCTCAGTATCCGAAACCACTTGAGGAATTCCGTCTGTCCTATCCAAAGAATTCCGATTACGCACCCATTCCTAATGAATCGAATTTCTGAGGTGTTATCCGGTCAGTGCAGCCCGTCCGGTTCTCTCTTTCTTCGTCCAAACGGTGGTCCTCGAAACCCACATAGAGTCGGACAAGTGAATAAGGCCACGAAAACATTCATTAGTACAAGAAGTGTCACCTGATAAAGGAGCAGCCGTGTCGGCAAAGGGACCTCACTAAATCTTGAGCGGGTTTGTAGTGTTTGGACTAATGCCGCCTGCCTAAAGACCAAGAACGGCGCTGTGAGAAGGTGGACTCTTCCACTTCTTGGGCTGTTGGTGAAGAATGGACGGCACTTTCGTGTCGGATCGGCTGGAGGCTGACCAGGCGGTCGCCTTGTTTTGATTAGAATCTGTAAACACACGGACTCGGGTTCTTCTACTTTAAATTACCTGCTGTATTTTTGTCTGATTGATAGTTGTTGGCTTGTCACGGGTTTC